TGCCATTGCGTTCATTCTTGAGACGTCTCAAAAATCATCTGCGATCTGACATCCCAGATTTGATCGTATTTTTATTTGACTCAGAATAACCCCCCTCTTCCCCTCCCCCCCTTCCTCCCCTTGAGCAACATTGTGACAAAATTTTGTTCTTTTGAGTCGACTCAAAAGTTAACTACTCACAGAGCAAACATATTGGAACTCGATCTTCTGATGCAACTGCTAATTAATCGATGCAAATAGGCCTTTTCAGTCAACTTAAAGCCAGGGTCTCAAGTAGAGAATCTACCATCAACTGCAAAACAATTGATGCTGAGTTGAGTTTGTTTCGCACTGCTCCCTGCACCCCTTTTCAACTTTTGCACCTCGCCAACCAATCACAGCCAAGCTCCAACCATCAACTGCGCAACACTTGTGGTACTTGAGACCCTGGCTTTAAAGCACCCTCTCCTGCCTCCTCCCCCTCTCCCTGCCCTCACCAGCTACCTACCTGCAGAGCAACTTCTTGGAGCTTGACATCCCGGATGCAACTGCTTTGTGAGTCGACTCACATATGCCTTTTGAGCCAACTCAAAGTACCCCCTTCTCCCCATTCCCTGCCCCCACCAGCTACTTGCAGAACAACATCTTGGAACTTGGCATCTCCAATGCAACCACCCTCTTGACGGAGCTCAATGTACCCAACTTCAAGTATACCTTTTGAGTCAACTCATAGTACCCCCTCCTCCTTCCTCTCTCCCTGCCCCCACCAGCTACTTACAGAACAACATCTTGGAACTTGGCATCCCCGATGCAATCACCCTCTTGACCGAGCTCACACACGTGTGAGTAGGCATCAGGCCTGTAGCCTTGCAGGGCTGTAACTGTAAGCATGTATCAGTTTACAGATGGGAGGAGGAAGAGCTGCACCTATGCTTGTGTCACTGTTGAGATTTCTCGAGCATAAAGCTAGTTTTGAGACGTCTCAAAACCAGTTTACAGATGGGAGGAGGAAGGGCTGTACCTATGCTTGTGTCACTGTTGACTTCTCTGAATCTTAAAACTTCCAAACAGGGAGAGCTGAAAGATCTTCAGTAAACGATTCTCTACTCCACATTTCTCTCCGCTTCGTTGTTCTACCTACAGTGACTTGTAGCTCTCTCCCTCTCCTCTACTCTACCCTCCTCTCCCCTTCTCTCCTCTCCTCGCCCATCCTCTTCTCAAAAGCTCCTATCCTCCTCAATTCCCAACCCCCCCTGAACAGTCCCCTCCTCTCACTCCTCACTCCACTCGTGTCATTCCTCGCTCCCCTCATCTCACTGCTCCTCTCGTATCAATCCTCACTTTCTTCGTTTCACTCCTCTCTTCCTCACTCCGCCCGTCTCACGCCTCTCCCGCACATGCAGCAATTTCGGCAACAACCGGCTGACAGGCGAGTTGCCGCCCGACATTGGCAACTTGCAGCAGCTCACCTACCTGTGGGTAGTTCTTGTTTATTTTACTTAATTTTCTTTGATTTTTCTTGATTTTCAATGATTTTGATTGTTTTTTTTTCGGGATCAAAGCGATTCCGGAAACAACTGGTTGACAGGCGAGTTGCCGCCCTACATAGGGAATCTGCAGCAGCTCTCCTACCTGTGGGTGGTTCTTGTTTCTTTTGCCGCCTTTATGTGTACTACTAAATCACCACCGACCATCCACCACCGACCAGTCACCACCACGGCATCACCACGGCATCACCACGTCATCACCACGTCATCACCACGGCATCACCACGTCATCATCACGTCATCACCACGTCATCACCACGTCATCACCACGGCATCACCACGGCATCACCACGGCATCACCACGTCATCACCACGGCATCACCACGTCATCACCACGTCATCACCACGTCATCACCACGTCATCACCACGTCATCACCACGTCATCACCACGGCATCACCACGGCATCACCACGTCATCACCACGGCATCACCACGGCATCACCACGTCATCACCACGTCATCACCACGGCATCACCACGTCATCACCACGTCATCACCACGCCATCACCACGCCATCACCACGTCATCACCACGCCATCACCACGCCATCACCACGTCATCACCACGGCATCACCACGCCATCACCACGTCATCACCACGTCATCACCACGTCATCACCACGCCATCACCACGTCATCACCACGCCATCACCACGCCATCACCACGTCATCACCACGGCATCACCACGTCATCACCACGCCATCACCACGCCATCACCACGTCATCAACACGCCATCACCACGTCATCACCACGTCATCACCACGTCATCACCACACCATCACCACACCATCACCACGTCATCACCACGTCATCACCACGCCATCACCACGCCATCACCACGTCATCACCACGTCATCACCACGCCATCACCACGCCATCACCACGCCATCACCACGTCATCACCACGTCATCACCACGTCATCACCACGTCATCACCACGCCATCACCACGTCGTCACCACGTCGTCACCACGTCGTCACCACGTCGTCACCACGTCGTCACCACGTCGTCACCACGTCGTCACCACGACGTCACCACGCCGTCACCACGCCATCACCACGCCATCACCACGTCATCACCACGTCATCACCACGTCATCACCACGCCATCACCACGTCATCACCACGTCATCACCACGTCATCACCACGCCATCACCACGTCATCACCACGCCATCACCACGCCATCACCACGTCATCACCACGGCATCACCACGTCATCACCACGCCATCACCACGCCATCACCACGTCATCAACACGCCATCACCACGTCATCACCACGTCATCACCACGTCATCACCACGTCATCACCACGCCATCACCACGCCATCACCACGTCATCACCACGCCATCACCACGCCATCACCACGTCATCACCACGGCATCACCACGCCATCACCACGTCATCACCACGTCATCACCACGTCATCACCACGCCATCACCACGTCATCACCACGCCATCACCACGCCATCACCACGTCATCACCACGGCATCACCACGTCATCACCACGCCATCACCACGCCATCACCACGTCATCAACACGCCATCACCACGTCATCACCACGCCATCACCACGCCATCACCACGTCATCACCACGTCATCACCACGCCATCACCACGCCATCACCACGCCATCACCACGTCATCACCACGTCATCACCACGTCATCACCACGTCATCACCACGCCATCACCACGTCGTCACCACGTCGTCACCACGTCGTCACCACGTCGTCACCACGTCGTCACCACGTCGTCACCACGTCGTCACCACGTCGTCACCACGCCGTCACCACGCCGTCACCACGCCATCACCACGTCATCACCACGTCATCACCACGTCATCACCACGCCATCACCACGCCATCACCACGTCATCACCACGTCATCACCACGTCATCACCACGTCATCACCACGTCATCACCACGTCATCACCACGTCATCACCACGTCATCACCACGTCATCACCACGTCATCACCACGCCATCACCACGCCATCACCACGCCATCACCACGCCATCACCACGTCATCACCACGTCATCGCCACGTCATCGCCACGCCATCGCCACGCCATCACCACGTCATCACCACGTCATCACCACGTCATCACCACGTCATCACCACGTCATCACCACGCCATCACCACGCCATCACCACGCCATCACCACGTCATCACCACGCCATCACCACGCCATCACCACGCCATCACCACGTCATCACCACGTCATCACCACGCCATCACCACGCCATCACCACGCCATCACCACGCCATCACCACGCCATCACCACGCCATCACCACGCCATCACCACGTCATCACCACGTCATCACCACGCCATCACCACGCCATCACCACGGCATCACCACGCCATCACCACGGCATCACCACGGCATCACCACGGCATCACCACGTCATCACCACGTCATCACCACGTCATCACCACGTCATCACCACGCCATCACCACGCCATCACCACGTCATCACCACGTCATCACCACGTCATCACCACGCCATCACCACGCCATCACCACGCCATCACCACGTCATCACCATGGCATCACCACGTCACCCCACCATGATCCACCAGCCACCGCAATTTACGTTCCGTGCACCTTGCTCTCCATTCATCACCAACCACCATGTCACCACCATGTCACCACCATGTCACCACCATGTCACCACCATGTCACCACCATATCACCACCATGCCACCACCATGTCACCACCATGCCACCACCATGTCACCACCATGTCACCACCATGTCACCACCATGCCACCACCATGTCACCACCATGCCATCACCATGCCACCACCATGTCACCACCATGCCACCACCATGCCACCACCATGCCACCACCATGCCACCACCATGCCACCACCATGCCACCACCATGCCACCACCATGCCACCACCATGCCACCACCATGTCACCACCATGCCACCACCATGCCACCACCATGCCACCACCATGCCACCACCATGCCACCACCATGCCACCACCATGCCACCACCATGCCACCACCATGCCACCACCATGTCACCACCATGCCACCACCATGCCACCACCATGCCACCACCATGTCACCACCATGCCACCACCACGCCACCACCATGTCACCACCATGCCACCACCATGTCACCACCATGTCACCACCATGCCACCACCATGCCACCACCATGCCACCACCATGTCACCACCATGCCACCACCATGTCACCACCATGCCACCACCATGCCACCACCATGTCACCACCATGCCACCACCATGCCACCACCATGCCACCACCATGACATGCAGGCATAGCCTCTCCTACCCTCGCCTCTCCTTCCCTTCCCTCCTCTCCTCTCCACTCCCCTCCCCTCTCCTCACCTCCCCTCACCCCCTCCCCTCCCCTCCCCTCCCCTTCCCCTTCCATCCCTCTCCTCCCCTCCCCTCGGTGTGCAAGCAGCAACGTCTCTCTCAACGACATGCAGGGATACTTCCCTGAGTCCTCTTTGACTCCACCTAATGTGCCTCTTTGCTGTCCATTCATCCCTCTCATCTCATCCCACCCCCTCCTTCCTCTTCCCCTTCCCTCCCCTCCCCTCCCCTCGGTGTGCAACCAGCAACGTCTCTCTCAACGACATGCAGGGATACCTCCCCCAGTCCATGGCCACCATGGCTAGCCTTGAGATCTTGTGAGTCCATGGCAGGATTGCATAGCATGCCTTCTCGGCTCCTATGAATAGCTTCCCTGGTTAGTTACTCCACCCCAGCCCATGGCCACCATGGCTAGCCTCGAGATATTGTGAGCACCCCGGCTGCCGTTCACCCATGCACCACCCGTGCATCCATGCACCACCCGTGCATCCATGCACCACCCGTGCATCCATGCACCACCCGTGCATCCATGCACCACCCGTGCATCCATGCACCACCCGTGCATCCATGCACCACCCGTGCATCCATGCACCACCCGTGCATCCATGCACCACCCGTGCATCCATGCACCACCCGTGCATCCATGCACCACCCGTGCATCCATGCACCACCCGTGCATCCATGCACCACCCGTGCATCCATGCACCACCCGTGCATCCATGCACCACCCGTGCATCCATGCACCACCCGTGCATCCATGCACCACCCGTGCATCCATGCACCACCCGTGCATCCATGCACCACCCGTGCATCCATGCACCACCCGTGCATCCATGCACCACCCGTGCATCCATGCACCACCCGTGCATCCATGCACCAAACCATACTCCCATACACCCCTGGCCCCCGTGAACCCATGCCATCCCATCCATCCACCCAGCGACTACGACCTGAATCTGTGGTCGTGCCCGGCACGTGGCTCATGCACTGTCACACAACCATGCACCGGCATGCACCTATGTACTATTGCACCCATGCCATCACATCCATCCACCCAGCGACTACGACCTGAATCTGTGGTCGTGCCCGGCACGCGGCTCATGCAACATCACGCCCATCAACTCAACTGTCCTCTGCACCGACTGCTCCGGATTCTGCATCTCATGCTCCTCTGCAGGTACCAACACTAGCAGGTAAGTAGGTATATTTGCAGCACGTGCCCATAGCAGGTGAGTCTATTTTTGAGTCGACTCAAAAATAGGTACCAACAGTAGCAGGTAAGCAGGTATCATTGCAGCACGTGCCCATAGCAGGTGAGTCTATTTTTGAGTCGACTCAAAAATAGGTACCAACAGTAGCAGGTAAGCAGGTATCATTGCAGCACGTGCCCATAGCAGGTGAGTCTATTTTTGAGTAGGTAAGCAGGTATCATTGCAGCACGTGCCCATAGCAGGTGAGTCTATTTTTGAGTCGACTCAAAAATAGGTACCAACAGTAGCAGGTAAGCAGGTATCATTGCAGCACGTGCCCATAGCAGGTGAGTCTATTTTTGAGTAGGTAAGCAGGTATCATTGCAGCACGTGCCCGTAGCAGGTGGTAGAACTTCATTTGCACAATCTTCCTTGGTACAATCTTTTCGTGTTAATGACCTGTTTGTGTGCATGTGTGTGTGTGTGTGTGTGTGTGTGTGTGTGTGTGTGTGTGTGTGTGTGTGTGTGTGTGTGTGTGTGTGTGTGTGTGTGTGTGTGTGTGCATGCGTGCCTGCGTGTGCATGTGCGTGCGTGTGTGTGTGTGTGTGTGTGTGTGTGTGTGTGTGTGTGTGTGTGTGTGTGTGTGTGTGTTGGGGGGGGTGGGGGGGGGGGGGGGGGGGGGTTGTGTGTGTGTGCGTGCGTGCGTGTGTGTGTGTGTGTAGGTGTGTGTGTGTGTGGGAGCGCATGTGTGTTTGTTGGCGTTTATGTGTGCGTGTGCATGTGCGTGTGTGTGTCGCCCCACTCTTCCCCCCGCAGCACCCCCTCCAGTGGAACCTCCTATCACACCGCCTGTAGTCGATTCTCCCCCTCCTCCACTCCCCTCCCCTCCCCCTCCATCCGCCCCTCCCCCTGCCCCTCCCCCTGCCGAACCTCCTGTATATCCTCCCCCTCCTCCTCCCTCCCCTCCTCCTCCCTCTCCCCCTCCCGCTCTGCCTCCCGCCGCCCCTCCTGCCGAACCTCCCTCTCCTCCCCCGCCTCCCCCCTCCCCTCCTCCAAAGCCGAAACTCTCTCCCCCCTGAAGCCTAAACTCTCCCCTCCTCCAAAGCCCAAAATCTCCCCTCCCCCCTCTTCTCCTCCCCCTTCTCTTCCTTACCCTCCTCCTCCCCCTTCTCTTCCTTACCCTCCTCCTCCCCGTGCCATTAGCCCCACTCTTCCCCCTAGCGCCACCCCTTCCCCCAGTCCCCCCCCTTCCCCCAATTCCAATCCCCCCACCACTGACGCATCCCCACCCATCTCCCCCTCTCTTAGCCCTCCCCTTCCCCCTTCCACCGCCCCCCCTGTAAGTGGGGGAATCTCTCCCCCTTCCCCACAAGGGGGGAGCGGGTCTCCTCCCCTTCCCCAACATCCCCCACCCTCTCCTTCCCCTCAACCTCCCCCGCCCCCTGCTTCAGGGGAGGGGGGAGGGGTGTCAATGGGGGTGGTGGTGGGGATAGCAGTGGGAGCGGGGGTTGTGATTCTGGGGGTGGTGGGTGTGCTTCTAGTGGTGTGCTTGTATAAGAAGAGGAGCAAGGACGGAGCAGCAGGAGCAGGAGGTGGGGCACAGGCGCCAACACTGGGAGCTGGTGAGTTCTTGGAATAATCTTCACAGAGCTCGGATGAAGCAGGAAGATCAGGAGGTGATTTCTTGGAAACTATATTGAAGAGCTGGTGAGGAGGAAATGTGGCTAGGAGAAGCATAGTGGGTAGAGATATTGAGGCGTGTCAAAAACTCTCATTTTTTAGAATTCTCAAGGTTCACCACCTCTCATAGCATCAAGCACTTGAGAGACTTCATGAATCCTCATTGAATCTTTCACCACATTCTTTTGCCCCTTCGACGCACATTGAATCTTTCACCACATTCTTTTGCCCCTTCGACGCACATTGAATCTTTCACCACATTCTTTTGCCCCTTCGACACACATTGAATCTTTCACCACATTCTTTTGCCCCTTCGACGCACATTGAATCTTTCACCACATTCTTTTGCCCCTTCGACGCACATTGAATCTTTCACCACATTCTTTTGCCCCTTCGACGCACATTGAATCTTTCACCACATTCTTTTGCCCCTTCGACGCACATTGAATCTTTCACCACATTCTTTTGCCCCTTCGACGCACATTGAATCTTTCACCACATTCTTTTGCCCCTTTCTCACCACGCTCTACTCCTCTTTACCCATTAATCACCACTCACTGCTCTTCTTGACCCACTACCACCACTCCCTGCATCAGCAGCCAAAGCAGCCACCGCAGCAGCAGCCACTGCAGCCGTACCATCAGGAGGCAGCGACCGGATGAGTGGTGCGATGACACTCCTCTTTACCCATTATCGCCACTCCAAACCCTTTCTGCCCCTCTTTACCCATTATCAGCAGCCGAAGCAGCCGCCACTGCAGCAGCCACTGCAGCCGTACCATCAGGAGGCAGCGACCGGATGAGTGGTGCGATGACACTCCTCTTTACCCATTATCGCCACTCCAAACCCTTTCTGCCCCTCTTTACCCATTACCGCCACTTCAAACCTTTTCTGCCCCTGTTTACCCATTATCACCAGCCGAAGCAGCTGCCGCAGCAGCAGCCGCGGCAGCCATACCATCAGGTGGAAGCGGCCGGATGAGCGGCGTGATGACCCACGGGCCGCTGCTGTGTCAGCAGTACTCACTTGCTGACGTGGCGCGGGCCACGGGTGAATGGGCGGAGGCGAACAGGATTGGCAGCGGCAGCTTTGGGGATGTGTTCAAGGGCGTGTCGCCGCATGACGCTTCGGTGTTGTGGGCTGTGAAGCGAGCGAGGGTGCTCACTAACGACTTCCGAAGAGAGGTGCGTGCGTGGCATGGTGCGGTGCGGTGCAATGCGGTGTGCCGCCTAGGTAGTGTGCATGTTATCAATGGATTGGCAGGTTGGGTTTGGGGATGTGTTCAAGGGATGTGTTACTGCATTGATGTTGATGCAGCAGCAGATCCGTCAGTAAGATACATTCCCACCTCCCTACTCTGTCCATGTCCCCCACCATTCCCGCCCCTCCCTTCCCCCCTGCCAGGTGAACGAGATGGCCACGAAGCACCACCCCAACCTCGTGCGTCTCCTGGGATACTGCATTGACGTGGATGTGGCAGCAGAGCGCACTGAGCAGATTGTGATCTATGAGTTTATGGAAAATGGCGACCTCGAGCAGTGGATCGGACCAGGTGGGTGGTGGGTGGGTGATGTCTTGCCTATGGCTGAGGGCTGGTTGGTCTCTAGAGAGATGGTATGCCATGGCTGGGAGCATGGAGCAGATCGTCATCCATGAGTTCATGGAGAATGGGGACCTCGAGCAGTGGATTGGACCAGGTAGTGGGTTCTGCATTACCATCTGGTTGGGTGTGAACACCTTACATGGTTCCATAGCAGAGCGCACGGAGCAGATTCTCATCTATGAGTTCATGAAGAATGGCGGCCTCGAGCAATGGATTGGACCAGGTGGGTGCTTTGGTACAAACTATTGCAGTTTCAACGTTTGAGGTGGTCGGATGCAAGTTTGGGATGTTCTTACCTAGGTGATCATGCATAATCGCAAAATCGAGATGCACTTGTGCGAGCTCAAAGTAGTTACTTTGTTAGTTTGTTAGTTAGTTTTTTTTTTTTTTTGGGTTGCGAAGCAACCTATTGCGATCGATTTGGACAGTTTTTTTTTTTCACATTTTTAATTATTCATTTTAAAATAAAATGTGAAAAAAAAGCGCTCTAAATGCTACCTACATAGAAGTTCCTCTCTAGTTTAATCATATTCATACGGTGGTAGTTGTCTTTTGGATAACTAGGATAGATTGTTTCTGTGATTTATTATGCTGCGATTTACCACCGAATATTATGCGCATAAGATGAAGAGATGAATATAATGATTAGTGAATGTAGATGAATACAATGATATTTAATGAATATAATATATTATGAAAAAAATTGATATGATGGAAAATATATGCATTGTGCTTGATATATAAATAATGATTATTTTAGGCAATCCATGATGCATATATATAATGATGTAAATGGGTGAAAGCTAACGGCCCAAAAACTATGCTACCGCATCCCCTGCCTAGCATGGGGGGGAGCTAATAGCATGATCTTTGAACAATCAGCAGTCACATGAAACAACACAATCTGTGAACTCTAAAAAATGGTCAACTCTATCATCTCCAGTTCAAGTGGGCTCCCGACAGGCGCGCCAATGAACCTTCTAATGAAATGATAGACCTGATTCACCTTTTTAAAACCCGCAGACATGCATTGTTATTGCAATGATGATGTGTAAATGAACATGGATGGTTGCATGCACACACACACATACCAGACACATACGCACACGCAATAAAACCGACAACTTCAAATATACAAGGCAAATGAGTGGACACAAATTAATGAATTCTACAAGCCGCCACTAGGACGATATCGTCCACCTTTCCACATTGTGACTTGATATTCTGAATGCTAGAGCAAGCTGAAAATATAGAACAAACGGGGAAAAGAGGAAACGGGGGAGAGGTGAAGGATTTTAACTGGAATTGAACGAAAATGTGAAATACAACAACGATGGCGTTATGCTACTCTTGTCGCGTTCTCTGTCACTACTCTTTAGCATAGAAAAGGACAGCATAGCAACTGAAATGATGAAAGGAGGGAAAGGAAATACGACTTTGATAGTCAACACTAAAAAATGTGCGATGAACAATACGAGCATACTTGTAGACGTTACGAGCGGCCTAAAACGTTTATGGAAATTTGCTTCATACGCAAATAACGGAAGTGTTTTTGTCAAAGTCTAGACGTCTTTATTCAACGAAGGCTAGGAGAGAAAGATATAATTAGGAGAAAGAGAGAGAAAGGTGGTTAAGAGACAAAGGAAGACAACATAAAACAATGAAGGGAATCAAGGCAAGAATAACAAAATGTAATACGAGAACAACACGAATAACAAGGAAAACAATATGCTGATTAAGAGAATTCTAAGGTACAACTAGGGGAAATATATGTTATGCAAAGTAGTAAGGACGAACTGGAAAGAGAAAAGCAAACGAGAACTATGATTCAAGGAACGGGAAAACATAGCAATAGATGAAGGAATAGGAGAGATCAGGAAGATGGTAAGAGATGCTAGATAGTGAACATACCTTGTATCTTATACGGTAGTAGCAACCACACAATTTCCCAATAGTATCATGTGAATGTACTGATGGAGAAAGGGCGAGCTTCAAGTAAGGGAAGGAGGGAAAGAGAGGGGGGGGGGGGGGGGGGGGGGGGTGGGGGGGAGGGGAAAGGGGGATAAACATGAAGGGAAAGAAAAGCAAACAGATAGTTACACATAATGAACGGACCATTTGAGAAATTAGGCCTTAAGCAACGATACTAGGTCAGATCGGAGGATAGGAAGGTTCTAAACCGAAGAAGAGAAAGAGGTGAACGAAAACATGCAAGTACGAGGTAGTAAGAATGCAACCAACGAAAGTAAGTAAGGAAGAATAGCAGAAGAAACAGTTGCTGGATTATGCAGGAAGAAACGTAGGACATGATCTAATACAATGAACAAATGAAGTCTTTACAAAGGACTTAGAACCTAAGTTCCTTGCAATCCTTTGAACGGTTGGATTAAGAGACTACGAAAGGTTAGTCTAGCTAAACTTAGTTCTAGTTATAGTTTAGGTACCTTCTCACCTTGTGGTAGGTGGAGGGTGACTAGCTGGCGACTATGAAGAACCTAGATCAGCGTGAAGAAATCCGGGAAAAAAAAAGAGAACCATGAACAGCAATGGTAGCCTAACGGTTAGAGTTTACGGAAGCGAGAGGTGGCAGGTTCGAACCCTGCATATGACGGTTTTGCAAAACAGCAGCAAAAAGTGCTGAGTTTCATACTCTTTATGGATGTTTTGCACAATAAGGTAGGTAGGCATACAAAAGCAATACTTAGTACTAGAGGTTGTACAACATAAGCTGCTTATGCGAATCGCTTCGCAACCCTAAGACGATTTCGTCGCCTCTTGTTTTTTTTTCACCTGTGTTTGGCTTCCGGCATTAACATTCATCCATAAATATTGAAGTTCTTTTCCTACCACCACCACCAGGTATGCCTACTCCTCTGACACTGAGGCAGAGGTTTGACGTACTCATTGGGGTGGCTCAGGGCCTGCAGTACCTCCACAGCTTCCACATTGTTCACCGCGACATGCCCGCCAACATCCTGCTCGACAAAAAGATGCAGGTAAGAACTTGAGGGTGAATGATGAGAGTGGAATATTGGGGTGGGTGGCTCAGGGCCTGCAGTACCTCCACAGCTTCAATATTTTTTATCGAGACATCAAGCCCGCCAATATTCTTCTCGACAAGAAGATGCAGGTAGGAATATCGGGGTGGAAGATGAGGGTAGAGAATGGCAATGGCAACCAAACACCAAGAACGCGCATTGCAAAGGTACTCAAAGAGTGAAGGGTACTCAAAGAGTGAAGGGTACTCAAAGAGTGAAGGGTACTCAAAGAGTGAAGGGTACTCAAAGAGTGAAGGGTACTCAAAGAGTGAAGGGTACTAAAAGAGTGAAGGGTACTCAAAGAGTGAAGGGTACTCAAAGAGTGAAGGGTACTCAAAGAGTGAAGGGTACTCAAAGAGTGAAGGGTACTCAAAGAGTGAAGGGTACTCAAAGAGTGAAGGGTACTCAAAGAGTGAAGTTGTGTCTACATATACTCATGCTAGTTGCAAAAGTTACTTGTTCTATTCGTCTTTCTCTCCCATCCCCTCTTGTACTTAATGCACTTTGTCAAGCAGGCTAAGGTGGCTGATTTTGGTCTGGTGCGGTTGGGAGAGGGAACCACTGTCATTGCAACGCGAGTGATGGGAACACCAGGCTATGTGGACCCTGCTTACTTCAAGTCACAGAAGGCCACCCCTATGGCTGATGTACACAGGTGAGTGAGGATGCAAGTGATGGGAACACCAGGCTATGTGGACCCTGCTTACTTCAAGTCACAGAAGGCCACCCCTATGGCTGATGTGCACAGGTGAGTGAGGATGCAAGTGATGGGAACACCAGGCTATGTGGACCCTGCTTACTTCAAGTCACAGAAGGCCACCCCTATGGCTGATGTGCACAGGTGAGTGAGGATGCAAGTGATGGGAACACCAGGCTATGTGGACCCTGCTTACTTCAAGTCACAGAAGGCCACCCCTATGGCTGATGTGCACAGGTGAGTGAGGATGCAAGTGATGGGAACACCAGGCTATGTGGACCCTGCTTACTTCAAGTCACAGAAGGCCACCCCTATGGCTGATGTGCACAGGTGAGTGAGGATGCAAGTGATGGGAACACCAGGCTATGTGGGCCCCATCTGTCTAGTTTTTTGTTACAGAAGGCCACTCCCAAGGCTGATGTGCACAGGTAAGGAATTTCACGTGCAAGCAAGCACTACAGCAATGTTTTTTTAGATGATGTTGTCCATCTACTTCTACACGCAGAAGGCCAGCCCCTATGGCGGATATGCCTGCAGGGTGTTTTTGAGAATTCTCAAAAACACGATTTCTGAGGCGCCTAAAAAATGGCGGATATGCTGCAGGGTGTTTTTAAGAATTCTCAAGAACACCCTGCAGAAGGCCAACCCCTATGGCGGATATGCACACGTAAGGAATGTCAAACGTGCAAGCAAGCACTGCAGCATTATTGATTCAAGATGAAGCACCCGCTTTAAAGTTCCCTCAAGCTATCAAAGGCTTTCTTCTTTCGTCATTCATGAACCTATATGTGTTTGTTTAATGCCATATTTGATTGCAGTTTTGGAGTGGTGATGCTGACAATGATTACGGCCCGGAAAGCTCTAGAGTGCTTGGACGAAGGTCAAATCAATCTCAAGCAATGGGTAAGTGCACATGTGAACAGGTGGGTGAGTGGACCGGGAGGATAAATGGATGGATCGTGGTGGATTGGGAGGGGGGGTTTGACATATGTCAGAACCATGAAGATTTCTTACTTCCTTAAAATCTACGAGTAGGCTCTCATTGTATGAACATTTTGTGCATACAACTCCGGCCATATAATCAAGCTCATGTTATGCCGCTAGGTGCACCTCTCTCTCCACCTGTACACCCCCTTCTGACGCCCACCAGGTGCAACCCCTGGTTGCCAACAACAATGCTCTGGACATAAGGTGCCCTTTCTCCACGCCGCCAGCGACATGCTCCTCATGCCCATGCCATGCCCGTTGTGCTTCTTGTACACCCCCTCCCTTTCCCCCCCTCCAGGTGCAACCCCTGGTTGCCGAGAACAACGCCCAGGCAATCAAGGACCCACGGCTGCACGCTCCCAGTGACGTGATCCTCAAGCTCTCCCGCTTTGCCCTCTCCTGCACCGCCACGCCCGTCGCCACGCGCCCCTCCATGGCGCGCATTCTCTCCGACCTCATCGCCATGAAGGAGGAGTTTCTCGGCCCGGACCCGGACCCCCTGGTGGTGCGGATTGACAGTGATCTGGAGAATCGCCGCGGGCCGACCTTCTCGCAGGAGATTCGGCGGGCGAATGCGGTGGCGTCGGAGCGGGAAGGGGCATCGGGGTCGGGGATTAGTGTTGGGATGGGGTCGATCGGGGAGATGAAGTCTGTAGATAGCGGTGTGTGACTGTGCTGTGCTGCGTGGCCTCCCACCCATTTATGCCCCTCTTGCATGGCCACCCACTCCTCCATGCCTCTCCTGCGCCGCCACACCCGTGGGCCGTGGCCACCCGTCCCTCCATGGCGCGCATTCTCTCCGACCTCATCGCCATGAAAGAAGAGTTTCTCGGCACTAACCCAGCCCTTTTGGGTGGCTGGTAGTGGTTTAATATTGTCTTGCATTGAATGATGGGATGCTGAGCTGCTTCTAGGTTCCATAGCCCTTTGGCTCCATAACACCACCTTTTGGCCCACTTTTGTATCAAAGCAAGACTGACTTGATTAACCTTGCGGTGCTCACGGATGGAATGATCTCAGCGAGTGTAAAGCTCCAAGCATGCACTTCTTTTAAGATTATTTTCAGACAAATCTACACCTCATTCTACCGTACCTACCAAGCTTAACAACAGAATGATTGCTCCAAGATGGTCAGCACAGTAGTGAGAGAGAGTATATACAAAAAAAGCACTCATGGATATGAACTGCCTTGCATGCAGTCACTTTCTTAAGTTCCGTTCTGCTCGCACTGCCTTGAGCTTCCACCTTCCTTATCCGACTCAGCAGCGACGAACCTTTTTCTTCTTGAACACATTCTGACTAGCATCACTCCTAGGAGCTTCCCCAAAGACATCATTCAGTGCAGAAGATGACGTCAGTGCAGCCTGGACCAGAGCTAGTGCCTGCAAAAAGATTATGGAAAAAAAACCATGAAAAAGGTAACAGCTCAAGGGAACAGCTCAGCCCATTTCGGACGATAGAGAAATCCTTACATGGTCCCTGGTGACAGTTGCCTCATGGCTCTCCAAATCACTCATGGACTTGACGCCCAGCTTGTTCAGCAAATGGATGCTCTTGATCGTTGAACTGGGGAAGAATTCGAGGTCATCGGTAACCATGAAGGTAACAGCCTCCTTAACAAACCCTCCTGAAATCTGAGCACCAGTGCCTTTGTCGACAAGAGAAATACCATTTCTCATGCAGCAGTTACAATCGGGAAATTGGGAATTAAACACATTTCCCAATCTATGCCGACCAAGACAGGTGTAGAAGCTTCCTGAGATGTCCAGAGGCTCTCCTCCATAAGGTTTTATGCCTTGAGACATGGGCACCCTACAGCTAGGACAGCTTGCTCCTGAAACCAAAGAAACATACACGTGACTTGCGGTATGGCACGTAAAAAACCCGCTCTTCTCCTGGCAATCGAGGAGGCACAGTTGGGCAGACCCTTCTAATGGTGAGGGGTTGAGGATATTGTCCTTATCCACTTTCATATACGAGTCAGCAAGCTTGTCTGTACTTGAAAATATATTCAAAATCCCAAGTCGCCCCTTGACCAATATTCCGCTCTGGATAAAGAGTTTTAGCAAGTTGGCTGTGGGCATTCTAAGAAGAGCCATCAAGAGATCGATGAAGTCCTTTCCAGCCTCAAGATACAAAATTTTCTTGGTTTCGTGGTAGCATAGACACAGTTAGCCAGCACGTCATAGGGGAACGGAAGCCTTAAAGCAATGTGCCCTGGTGGAGGCTAGGAGCTCACCTTGCTGAAGAGGTGATGGGAAACGAGGAAACTTTACCAACCCTTTGAAAAGGAAAACACGTCGATTGCACGCCTATTTGAATTGGTTCCTGCTTATTGTCGACCGGCATGGCCTTACTGCTCCTACTGTTCGGATCGACTCCGCTCTTCCATGACATAGTGAATGCGTCGGCTCTGTGAGCATCGGGCTCTCCGATGCCGCCGATGTTCGATTCGTCCAGCATAGTAGCTACTGAAGGGTCTACAACGAAAGCAAGGTATCGATGCCTGCATGATGGACGGACGTTGTTGTTCATTCGTTCCTCCAGCGTATGCAGGGCAACGCGGCTCAACTGCGGACTCGATTGAGAGTCTGGACTCTGGAGTTCGTTGGAGTTGAGAGTGGTTTGGGTTCGTTCGTTCTCATTTGTTAGCACAGTATCCAGCGAAATAAGGAACACAAAATGGAAGATTCTCTTCTATACGATGAAGATCGCGGGGAGAGGTGGGAGTAGGTTGGTTAAAGCCCGAGGTCAGCATGGTTTTTGCTACAGTGTCGCGAGGGCTTTAAACGTGGTCGCGAAAAGCTAAAATAATGTATTTCGGGAACTGAACAGGTGCGAAAGCGAAACCAGGCAGCGACGAGCTTCTGCACTCGTCACCCACATGTGCGACACTGCACCACTCGGTTGGTGCATGGAGGGGGCAAGAAAGCGGGGCCAACATCATAGGCATGCAAAATAGTCTGGTAACCCTATGCGATTGTATGCAAAACCGTCGATACCTCATTTTGGAGGTAATTACGTGTTTACATAATACCGCATTTTTATTTAACTTAACCATTGATTTCTTCCGCGCTTGGCTTTGCGCTAAACTATGATTTCTTCGGGCAACTGTTTTCGCCAGATTAACAACACTGTTCACTACCTGACCCAAGAAAAAAATATAACCCAATCGGAAAGGGATGCGACTCGGAGAGGCATCAACCCTAAAAACAATGCCCTTTCCCGTGTTTAGGGTTGATCCCTCCCAAAAATGCGTCCAGATACCTATGGGCTTTATGTTTTCCGGCCCTGCCCTAACAGTTCCCGGTAGCGTCGTCGTCGTATACTTCCATTCCAACAGAATTTCCCGCTAAATGTATCGTGCACATTTAGCGGAAATTTGTTGCCCGTACAAATCGTTGTTAGGCGCCAAACAGGGCGTGGTAATAACCACTAAAAAAATAAATCGAAAACGCAATCGATTTCTTTTGTTTTTTTGCTACGTCAGCTGTCACACAGTGTTTTCGAGTGGCGGTACCAGACAAATTTGCGCAGCAGGACTGGGGTATCGACGGTTTTGCATACAATTGCATAGGGTTACCAGACTACTTTGCAAGCCTATGATGTTGGCCCCAAGAAAGCGAAGCCACGTGCGTAGATGTGAGCAAAATGCACGCGACTCGGAAAGAGAAGGGGAGCGCAGCCAATCAGTCCCCTGAAAATACAACCCAGCAAGAAGATTGAAGAAGCACCAACACAACAAACGGGGAGAGAACAAACACACGAAAGAGGGACGTGTTACGCTTGGTAAAGAATGCTAGTGTCGCTGTCCAATCACAAATCACCTTCGTGCGAGAATGCTCCATTTCGGGTGGTAACATGGTTTTTGGCGAATTCATATTCAGGAATCTTGAGCTTGAAAATAGCCATGTAGAACTCGGGCTTTAATGTAGGTCCATTTACAACACTCACTAAAAAAATAGCACGTGCAAAGAGTAATAATAGGTGGGATAAGAAAATTTCCCACCAAAGAAGAGTGCAGATGAAGCGGCAGCAGGGGTTGCAGCAGCAAGACCAACAAGCAGCAGGTACAGCCAAGCTAATGCCCAGCAGCACGTCCTAACATGGTATTTTGGAGCAAGAAATGAGACATCTCAAAACAAGTACCAGGCCAAGGCACACGGAACTTACAAAAATCTAAACAACAAACTCCTACGCAAAGACACACGGACCTTCTGCAACACGTCTTGAGGCCTCCCAAAACTCGCTATTCAAAGGCATACGGACCGTCGTCAGTATCAGCAGCAGGTGGTGGAGCAACATCAACAGTGGGCTGCTCTTCAGCCTTCTGAAAGGACTCCACGCCATAGGGATCGTCCGAAACAACCGGTTCTTGAGAAACAGCTGCAGGTGGCAGCGGCGGTGCTGCTTCTGTTGCATCATCAGGAGCCCCAGCAACAGACATATCAGCAGCACCTGCTGCATCATCAGCAGCCACAGCAGCAACAGTATCAGAACCTGCTTCAGGAGCAGCAGAGCGCTCCTCAAAGCCACCTCTGAGCTCTTGCTGATCCGCACCATCCTTGGGGTCAGCTGCGGCATCAGGGGCAGCACCATTAGCACCGGCAACATCATCAGCAGCAGCAGCCACAGCAGCAACGGTATCAGCACCTGCTGCAGCATCTGGAGCAGCGTTGGGAGCAGCATCGGGAGCAGCATCGGGAGCAGCATCGGGAGCAGCATCGGGAGCAGCATCGGGAGCAGCATCGCGAGAAGCATCGGGAGCAGCATCGTGTGCAGCATCGAGAGCAGCATCAGGGGCAGCATCGGGAGCAGCATCAGGGGCAGCATCGGGAGCAGCATCGGAAGCAGCATTGGGAGCAGCATCGGGAGTAGCATCGGGAGCAGCATCGGGAGCAGCATCGGGGGCAGCATCGGAAGCAGCAACTGCATCCGGAGGACCACCAGCAGCAGCAGGATGAAGATAATCAGCAGCAGGAACAGCAGCAGGAGCAGCTGCGGCAGAATCAGCAGGAACAGGAGCAGCAGCAGCCGGCAACACTCGGGATTGCCCCAAAGCAGGGTGGAAGGCGGAGGCCTCAGAGGACGAGTGCAGGGGTGCAGCTGCAGTGAGGCCCGCACCCAGGGGAAGCGATGCAGAGAAGAGCGGAGCAGTGCCGGGAAGGGAGTGTGGCTGGGGGACAGCGTGCGTGGCAGCAGGGGCGATGACACACGTGTCACCTGTCGCAACAGGTGCAGCATCAGCAGTAGCAGCAGCTTCAGGTGCAGCGGCAGCAGCAGCATCAGATGAAGTGGCACCAGCGGCTTCAGGTGCAGCATCACCTGCCCCACCAGGTGCAGCGGGATCAGCAGCTTCAGGTGGAATGGCAGCAGCGACAGCATCAGAGGCAACACCGGTAGCATCAGGTGCAGCAGCAACAGCAGGATCATGTGAAGAACCACCGGTTCCCTGAGCAGTTTCCATACCGACCACAACTCCCTCCATAGGCTCGGCTGTAGCAGCACCTGCAGGATCAGCTGTCGCAGTAGCTGTAGCATCATCTGTAGCAGCACCTGTACCATCACCAGTAGCAGCATCTGCAGCCGCACTGCCCACGTCCATCATGTCTGAATCTCTAGAATCCGTAACCAAAGCATATGCAGGCGTAACATCTGCCGCTACAGGGG